GTGTGTGTGTGTGTGTGTGTGTGTGTGTGTGTGTTACCTTTCCAGTTGGTTGTAAGTCTAGTTGAACAATGTGTGTCTGACTGCTGCAGGACCCCCCCTGAAGCCTCAGGCCCCCAGAACATCCAGGACCTGGAACTGAGAGAGGAGTGGCAGGACGATGAGTTTCCCAGGTTTGATCTGTGACCCTCCAGTTGACCCTAACCTGACAGAAACTGAATTCACATTTTTACAGACAGAACCTGGAACTTTATGAAATAACTGCACTAGGAAGGAACCTGAGACTGGTCCATTAAAAAACCAGAACATTTTAGAGGTTTTTACACAGACCAGTACAGGACTCCTGCCTCACAAAGCTTCTGTTCTGTGTCTGTGGTTCAGGCCACTCCCGGAGGATTGTGACCCTCAAGTGGAGGCAGAGAGTCCAGCAGGAGGCGACAGTGAGCCAGGTGAGGCTTAGATTCTCTGGCTGTGTCCAAAACGGTGGGCCGGGTCCTCTGAAGGCCAAATTCATCGGTTGCATACGTCACAGCGCCGCGACGGAGGACGTCCAAAACTGAAGAGTCCTCCGATGCAGCCGACAAATACGTCCTTCATTTGGCCCTGATTGAAGGACAGGTCTGATGGATCCTTCCTGGCCCACCATATCCCATAATGCATTGCAGCCCGACCGGAGATTTTTTTAATGCTATTAGTGGCAGACGAAACGAGAGAAAAGAATACGTTTGAAATAAAAGTATGGCAATATGAAAATTACAATTTTTTAGGGGTTATATTTTTAACACTTATTATTTGTATATAAGCATGTTTTTAGATTCTATTTTGGTCAAGAAAAAAACCAGAAATAAACAAAATCCCACGGTGGGACAATTAGTTCTTCAAATATTACCTTATTTTATTGTTTTATGATATGAGTAACACTAATATATTCATGTTTTTCTAATTTCGATCTAACTTTGCTTGTTTAGCATCGTCACGTTTGCTAGGTGACATGACGTACACAGGGGGTAAGGACAGGAGGCTAGACCGTCCAAATTCACAGCCACTTTTTTCCAAGTACCCCCAGCTGCGGACCGCGGAACGGGGCGGGGGCGGATAATGGGCGGGGTCGTACATCCAATGGGCGTGGTCACGGCTTGTAGGGAACGTGGTTGGACGTGGTCAGATTGAGGGCAGAGTTGGACAGCAAGCAATAAGTGGTTTTGAAAAAATGGAGGAACCACTACCTAACTTTAATAAAAGTTATAAAATGAACCAACTAAGATGAAACAAAAAACTTTTGTTTTTATTATTTGTAATTATAGACTAACTTGTTTGTTTTGTTTTTATTAATTATATACAAACTGTATATGAGTAAAATAAACAAGTTAATCTATAATTACAA